TGCTGCATTCGTTCCGTCCATGGCCTATCAGGGATTGCTTCTGTGTGTCAGTGAGTGTGTACATGGTAATGAATAAGAGGCGAATACAGTGCGGTGCTTAATTGATGTGATCGAAATCATTTTGTTGGGACTTAATTGTGGGCGTGTGACACCGATAGGGTATAGCCCATTTGTGTCGGAATTAAAAATGTACAGAAGACGCGGGAAGCTGTGCAGTATTCTAATTGACAGTATTTAAAAGAGGGTAGATTAATCATGATCGGACCCAAATCTACTGTGTTTACCTAGAGGCCTAGACATTATATCCGAAAACGTACGTACGCTATATGCAAGGATATCTTATATTTTTTGATGTGCACAGAGGTTTGTTTATGGTTAGTCTGAAACATTATAATTCGAAGAACTCACCATAAAATGCGCATCAAAGCACACAATGAAACTTGTTTGAAAGATTTATTCTAGACTACTCATAAGTAATCTGCAAGATTTCGCTACAAACGGTTCCTCCGTAATTTTCATTACACACCATTGAGTAATGCGTGGTAGACGAATACACACTGAAACAACGAGGACCTGTTCGATTTTAAACTACTACCACTGATATGTCCTGCATTTTAACATCTAGGGCGATCATCGACTTTTACGCAATCACGAAACGCTGTTCTGTCAGTGAGTTAAATACAACCATCCAGTTTCATTCTTTCTAATTCTATGGAGTAGTCACAGTTTCCCCCAAATACTATTTGAACGGAAAATCACGTGAACTTTGAATTAAAACTAGAGACTATACCATAGCATACAGTAAGTACATATACAAATCTAGGACTACAACTGTTTTTTTCATAGCTGTGTCTGGTACAGTATATCTAACCCTTTTTTGAATTGTTCCTTCATTGTTTTTTGGACTAAATTACTGGAATCGAATCTGTCTTCTCGTAATACATCCGACAGAAGTTTATTGTCTCAAGTAAAGCATAGGGTCTTCTAAAAACATCTCATAACACTCGCGAAGGGGGGAGGCAGAAATCTCCAGCTGTTATCAGTTCGTTTAATCACTTCAATCGCCAAAGTGTAATGTTTCCAAAGGTTTTTGGCACTGACTAGTGTCAAATCTCGTGACTGCAATCGACCGATCATCACCGCTTGCTATACGGTGCAACAACAGATAATGGGCATAGATAATTATTCACAAAGTAAATTTCCGTCAAACCCGAGTGTGCGTGATTACACAAATAGACTTTGGGTATTTCAGTGAAAAATCACCTGAATCATCCGAAGTACGATTAAATAAAAACAGGAACGAAAATAAAATAGCCCACATTGATGTTGCTTCCGGTTAAAGTCATCACAATTACCAAACGGACTTACCACCCACGGCCATGAATGAGGTTTGGCCTCTTTACCTCCCGTGATTTTCATCACCACGTTAGATCTTGCCGGTTTTATGCCACATGTTTCTGTGAGATTCTCCACCAACTGTGCGCCAACTACGAAGCGAAGAAAAACGGGAGAAGCACTTCGAGGATACACTCATCGGTACGGTTGATGCATTCATGCGTGGTCATGGAATGAGAGACAAAACAGTTCGATTTGATTGAATTTCGTAGTTGAGAGGGTTACTCAATGACATTTGGGGCAGATCGCAGCACATGGCTCTTTACCGCTTCCTATCAATGTGACTCAATTCAATTGATTAGTGTTGTACCCTACAACTGATTGATTTGCATTCAAACATGTCTGTGGCCAAATTGATTGATCGATCGATTGGTTGATCGATTGACTGACTGTTTGAATGCTGGCTTGANCTTGACGGCATTCGCATGTGGTGCGTCGGGTGAGCCAGAGTCGGCCTACCTGCCTTTCTACACGCTGATCGTTCCAACATGTTTCAAAGTTTGTGTACCGGTTACATATTTACTGTTAACAATAAACTTACTGCTTAATTTGCTGTTTGCTCATCTTTCTGCTAAATTTGGGACACAATAGTTAGGATACCGAATTATCTCCCGGTCAAAAACGGGTTCGGATAAACATGGATACTGTGAATACTGACTGCTGATTATTTCGCAACAGTCGAGATGAAGCAGCCTGACAGTAGTTCGAAACATTTCCGGTACGCGGGGACACACTGACTGTGGTCTAATAATCCAACTTCTTCTTGTTACTTTGCTCAATATTAGGAACAAATATTTCCCCCGCCTCTTGATTCCCGCTCCGTCAGACATAAGGGAACAACAGTGGAATGGTAATAAGGAGAAACCGCTAAAGACAACAATGATCATACAAATGTAATATTCTGAACACCTTTCTGACATCTAGTAATTTATTGCGTAATGTACCAGCTTAACTAAAACACAGTGGACAATTCAATAGATCGTTCACTGTCACGAATCGGATGATTGATTTGTAACGAAAACTACCTATGTGGGCTATTGATTACCTTAAAACTCGACAACATTTTGCTCATCTGCGGAAAAATGTTCCTTTGAAGAAACAACACGTAATACTTTTCTCGCTTATCGCGAACCTGGATCATTCATGTTGAAGGATATTTTCATTTTAAGCATATCGATCGAGGAATTGCCCTAGTATTTAGTGACTTCGTGTGCATAACACTACTTTACGATGAATATGCAATTAAAATCCCGTCTGGATCAATCAGTTAAGGCCCTCAGAATGGCGACACAGAAGTGCTTTTCGATTCCTGACAACGCCTCCCATGATCTCTATTATCCATGTTTCTCGAAGCGTCCTTGAATTAGCGGAAGTCTCTCCTTGAAGATTTTCTGTTCAACTGTGCATGCAATAGATAGACTAGAAGTAAAACGTTTCGTTTACAAAACATGTGTACGAGGCGGTTATTGGAAGAGATGAATCAGTAAAACAGATATGGATTTCTGTTCATTCCATAGTGAATTCGAATATTGTGAGCGGGATGGTGTGGGACAGGCGGTTTCAGGTGCGTTTCGGTTATATCAGTTTTAAAACCTTTACTGCTGAGAAATATTAAAGTACTCCTAATTTTTCGATAAACCGCGAAGAAGGTGATTTTAGGCTCACAGAATAAGTGGTCGGTGAAGATCAGCGGCAGTGCTTTAGGACACAGGGTTTACCTATTGGCAAGGATACTCGGCACAAAATACCACATATATCAGTGAACCGCACTGTGATGTGGTGAATGTGGTTTGCCATTGCACTTAGTCAGTAACTTTTGTATCGAGTTTCATTTGTTCGAAGAGGTTTGATATAAGAGACAAATGAATTCAACAAATGGTCAGCGCATCATACAGGGCAACACTGATGATGTTTTGTCGTTTGCAGTTGGCTGTGCAAAGACTAGAGTATATTCTCGAACAAGGTCTACAGTGAACCGCGCCACCTAATAATGCAACAGCCCGCATCGTGTTCAACTATGAATCTTCTTGAACTAAAGAATCTCTATGGCAAACTTTACTACATTACCATAAATAATTCTAACGTACATATCTACCCGATTCCTGGACAATCTTTTATTTCAAGATCAACCGACGGCAGACACGTTCATTTTTATTGGGAACTCTGGATGATTTTACTAAAATTAGTACGCCAGACTGAAATCCCGCCGCTGTTCTCTCATGCCCTACCTGTGTTGATGTCCAAGTCTGATCGAATCTTCCCCCAGCAGCTAAAGCTCTTCCGGATGCCTCTTCAAACTAGCTACATCTAACATGCATAGCCTGATGCGCAAAGGACCATAGGCGTGTTCCGCTCGTACCCTCGAGACTCTAGCCATCGTTGTGTGTTATACCCAAGACACTTGCAGTTAAGGCTTTGCGGAGCACAACTCGTAAAGAGGTGTAACCTGACCACAAGCAAACTCCTGGACTACGAAATCTGGTAAAGATCAATATGCTTCAAGGTGAAACTTTCCACTTCATCCGGGTCACTGGTAGGAAAGCTTTGGGTGAGTGTGAATCATCTCTGAAGCTGGCGGCTTACCTACTCACAATCCAAGGCAGCGTCGCACACGCTGAGCAAGTCACTTTAAAACCCAATTTGAATGAATATCAACGTCAGCTTCTCACATAGCTTTTTTCACATACACCTTATGATCTGGTTTCATAGAACCAGGTTCTGAGGCAAAAATCCGCGAAGAGATCAAATCTGATGACTTAATCCATCCATATTTAAACACGGGTAAGCGACACATGAAATAGAGTTCTCGATCACCATCAGCAGCATCATTCGCTCTTTTAGGGTCATATGGTCGACGAAGTCCAATCCCTTCTGAGTTCTAACCGCATGTAGTAGACTGAGGATTTTCATTTTATTGATCTGTCGTAGAACGCATATCATTAGCCGCTATTTTTTAATCAAAAGAACTGGAATGTTACACAGCGCCTCCGTTGGTTTTCAATTTAAGATTAGTAGGGTATCGATGGATTCTCACGATTTATTTTTTGGGCCCCGATACCATGAATCTCATGATGTTGCATGCTGCGATGGAGAAGAGGTTGGGAAGCGCTACCACCTCTCAAAACTGGATTTTGATGTCGTGATTCAATTTACTAAGGGGGACGTCCTTTTCGGGTTTTTCAAGGGCTTATGTGGTCTGTGAGTACGGTACACGCTCGTTCATTCATTCTTACATTCAGTCAGTCAGTCAGTCAGTCAGTCAGTCAGTCAGTCAGTCAGTCAGTCAGTCAGTCAGTCAGTCAGTCAGTCAGTCAGTCAGT